AAAAAAATCGGAAATGCGCCTAACTTCCTAGTCCACTTCGGGTCATTGAATGAAGGACGTGATTTCATAAATATCAGGAAGAGGAAAAATAATATGTGAGGGAAATAAAAATACGCCTAAAAAATATGCAGACGAAAAGCTTACGGGATTAAATCACCTCTGGTTTTTTCTTCTTGAAAATCACACGCTCGATAATGATGTGGCTCGACAGCCACATCCGGTTTTTTTTTAATAAATGAACGGATCTTAAATTTATTGACAGATTTCATGCGATGGGTGCAATCCAACCATTTTTTCGTTTTGGTTTTCCAAATTTCTCTTGATGGAACTACTTTGACGACGGGGATGTGATCGTTTACGAACCTCAGCTGGATACTGAGTACTGTACCAGATTGCCGTTGGTTTACGCTAAAATTAGGCACATATCAGTTCAATCAGCAATAGATTTAGAAAGGCTCAAGAAATAAAATGAGGCACTTTGAGTCTATCTTCCGATCACGTTTCTATAGTAACTATACATTACTGTATTTTCTATCTCATTTTATTTTCCTGGCCTAATGCATTTTCTTTGTACTGATCATTTTGAATCGTATCTTCATGAAATTTTCCGACGCCGTGTCTTTTCTATTTATCCCCTGTGTCATGTATATTCAGGGGGAAAAAATAGTCTTGCGCACCACTTGACGAGCATACCACCAATGGTACCATGTGCTGAAAGGTTCAGGCGTATTTTTTATTTTTAGAAAAGTGTCGAATATGGCATGCTTTTTCCCCTCACGACGTGGGCGCCTCTTTTCTCGTGGTGTTCGGTCTCAACGCCATTTTTTTTTCGATTACCGAACAGTCCTTAATTTCGTCTTTCTCTCTCCACTGTTTTCTCTGCCGCAGGAGCGAAGGCCAACGAGGACGCCTCGAGGATGTCGGACCCGACGCCGTCGCCGTTGTCCGCCGCGGCCGGCATCAAGCTGGACTCTCCGGCGTCTGGCGGCGGCGGAATGGCGCCTGTTACATCATCACCGAATAAGCCGCTTGTCAATGGTGACCGGAAACCAGGCGACGACGCCGCGGGCGTTGGCGGCCTTGGCGGAGGTTGCGGCGGCAATGGGCCGCTCATGATGATGACGACGACAACGGCAATGTCGACGTCGGCACCACCAGGGCTCATTCCGAATGGCTTCAAGACCAACGGTGTGCAGAAACAGGCTGTGGTCAAGCCCAATGTTCTCACTCACGTCATTGACGGATTCGTCATCTTGGAAGGTGGGATTTTGTTTGCCCCCCCCCTGTCATATTTATAATTTTTCCATTTGGTGCCGGGAAATTCTCGTATTTTCTCAAGTACAGTAATGTACCAAGCGCCCTCATGTGAGACGCGCTCGTTAATTTTGTGGACTCCATTTTTTTGTGAAAAACCAATCCAAGACGATGTTTTTCTGTTACACGCAAAGCCATTTTATTTGTGGAGATACCGTAAGCGCTAAAATTTCAAATTTAGGCTAATACAATGCGAATTCAATTGGGCTGCATTTTGTTTTTGTTTTGCATTTTCATCGGTCAGTTCGATTCGAGCTTAATGTTGTGTATATTTTTTATGAATTGTAGTCTCTAAAAATATTTCTTTAATATTGCATGAACGTGAACCCTGTCCCGAAAGTAGCACAATGCAGTATATCATTACCGATGCGGTATAATATAGTATTACAATGTAATTAGCATCGCTGAAAAGCGTGCCAGTCTTCCATTGGAATGCAGACTCGGAATAAAAAATAAAAAAGCCAGTTTTGCATCCTCTTGACGAAATGAAAGAAAGGAGAATAGAAATGAAAATAATTTTTGGCGGTGAACATGGCCCGAAAATTCTTCGAATTTCTGCCATCTGCCAGAGTTGGATTACAAAGCGAAAATGAGCAACAGGCGCCGAATGATTTCTGACGAAAATGAACGCGCCTCAGCACCTTTTGTCGAATATTCAAAGCGAGAGTTTGTGTTGTAGACGCAAATATCTTGTACTCCGTGTAGGTGACTTCTTATTTTCTCGTGTTTTTTTTTTCTGAATCTTCGAAAACTTGTTTATCTTATTGCATTGGAAATTTTGAATGGATGGAAGCGAAGTCCCGTGGGTGTTCTGTTTGAAACAGAATGAGGCTTGAAAATTCGTGGAAAAAGACCCTATGAGGAGTTTTGTGAGCAAGAATTAAAACTTCAAGTTTCTACAAAATGCGTATAAAATTTAGCAAAATTTTCTAAATTTTTTTGGAGGCTGCGGTAAAAATGTTGATACAGTAGGAACTTCAATATTTGCATCGAAATGCCTCCATTTGCAACAGCTAGTATCAGTACTCAGCCGTGACAAATTCGGTCAAATTTCTGATGGGCAAGAACAAGTCGTGAATTTTAAAATTCAACATCTGCAATCCCAATCCATACTAAAAATGTCTCGAAGTGCCTGTAAATTCAGCCTATTTAATGGCCCACGATTAGAACCACCGCATTGCCACAAAACTGTGCTGGAGCGCTAAGAAATCCACCAAGTACTGTACTTCTGATGCGAGAAATGGGGCCTTTCACAGCTTGCAACTGAAATGCTGGTGTAAAAGAAAAGCCGATTGATCGCGCCATTTCCAACGTGCAACAGTCTGCCTCGAATGGCTCGAAAATTGAGCGGGGGAACTCAGTAATACACGTAGGCGAGAGGAGGGGTCTGCAAACTACAGTCTTGTCGAAAAATAAGCGATAAGAGCAATGAAAAAAAGGAAAAAAAAATGTTGAAACCCCCTTCAATTTTGTTAATGCCAGAGAATAAGAACCATATGTTAAATACCAAGTTTAGTGCTTGATATAGTATTTCAAGTGATTCCTGCGATGAGGGATTGCGGTTTTTCTTATCGTAATAATTTTAGGGAAAAATCATGTATAAAGTCTCAGATATATATATTACAGTAATAGAATGTACTGTAAGTCTACTTCATAAAGAATATTGGAAATATCTACGGAGATTTAACCTGTAATTGATACTGTACATTATTCTACATCTTCGAACATGTTTTGTGTCATTAATGTGGAAATCCCGTTTTCGTTTCATTTCTCACGCAACCTTTCACTCTACAGAATTTTCAGAATGCAGTACCTGTATATAACCTGAATCTCTAACCTCAATGATAAGAATGAAATTCACAATAAACTGACGTGGCCGACCCTAACCCAAACTAACATAACCGTATGAGGCAAAATATTTTGGTGTCAATTACAGTATGATGTAACAGAACACAAAATCACAGAGTTTCAAACGTCTCGAGTTAGAATGAAAATTAGACAACTCTCTCTCCATAACTTATACTGTACAGAATTCCCGTATTGTCCCTCGTATTATATATTTTGTATTTTGTAGATTTGTTTGCTGACCTCTTCCTTTTCGAACCAGTTGCCGGAAAGAAAAATTAATAAAACGCTTGATCGAATGCTTGCACAATATAAACAAAAGCAGGAAAATAAAACCCGAGACAATGCCGAGGGGGGAGGAAAAAAAGAAGTTGCGTTCGGAAATCGCGCTTGAACCTTTTTTCGAAACCCGAAGGGTTGGGTACCTAATAAGAAGAAGAAGAAGGGGGGGGGGGGGTTATAGAGGGAGAGAGAGAGAGAGAAGGAGCGAGAATGTGCATTTGGGACAGGTTTCAAGCATCTGTGGAAGACTGAGCCCGGGTCTGTCCGTCTTGCTCCTTTACCCGGGCTGGTTTCCGGCCACCTCGTTTCCTGCCGGCAGCTCGGCAGAACCGAGTCGCTGTTCGCACTCTGCGGACCCGCTCAAGTTATTTTTCCTGTGGCATTTCCGAGTGATAATCAACCAAGAAAAGAAAACCTTGTTAACCCGAACCCCACACCACCACACCTTCCCCCCTCATCCCCGTCCAACTACTGTACTGTACTGTACTCCCACGTCCTTGCCCCGCAAGAGATAATTGCTGTGTTGACGTGAGGAATAGGCCGCACCCGGATTTTTGATTAGAAAAGAGGTGCTTTCGAGGAACATGCGGCAAAAAACTGCGTGAACCGCGAACGGATTGAAAAGGATTCTGAGGAAATCTGACTCGTACACGACAATATTTCCCAATTCCCCGAACATATTCCCTATTATTGGACGGTGACTCAGTGAGTGAATTTCTCGGGCATAGAAACTCACAGAATCGAATAGTTTTGTGCGTGGAAAAAAGACTCAGTGAAAAGTTCTGGTTATTTTTATAGGCATCTTAGAAAGAATTAGTTGGTCTCAGATGTGGCCTATACCAGAGTGCCTTGAGCACATGCCTCATCCAGGTTGCATTAAGTGAAAATAAAAAAGAAAAATCGGTGGCCTATACGTGCATAAATACGATACTTACTGTGTTCAGTCAAGTGTAGGCCACAGAAATTTTGATTTTTAATCTCCGCGAAAGGAACTATCGAAGTAGCAGTGTGGTCTATCCTTGAGATGATCGTGTTTTGCTCTAGCTGCGTTATAAAATTTTGCATTCGGTTTATTACAGATATTCTGTAATATTTGAGCAGTTTTAGATTTGAAAGGCGAACAGAACAATTTATTGATTTTTGAGTGAACGAAAAAATGCCGACAATTTTCATTGGGTGTAAGGTGAACTCTCTCTACAACGGGATTCATAGGACCTGAAAAATTATTTGTCGAGAGAATTTCGTCGTAGAGAACCCGCTATAACGTGTAAAGAGATCTTTGAGGGATCAAAAACAAATTCTTCATACTGTACCTAAATCATTTTAGACCATATTTGTTGAAAAAGAGAAATTCCATTTGTTTAACGTGATGCCTTTTATCCCAAGGCGAGATGCGGGTAGATTCTCTCTAGTCTCTACAACGGTTTTCTCTGTTCAACGAATTTCTTGGTTCCTTATGTTTCTCCACACAATAAAAAGGGGTTCCTTACGAATACTTTTTTTTCCTGGTCCCTTGTATTTATTTGTAGAGAGAGTCCATGTTCACACTGGAGTGAAAATATAAGGGATTTTCCGAGTGAGTCACTATTGGTTAAAAGTCCAGACCGAAAACAATGGATTATCCAAGTAAAATATCTACATTATTTTCGTGTCAAAATGTTTTTACACAGTACTTAACGCGGTCTTTTCAGTACCGCCACCTCCCCCCCCCCCCTTGACATTTCTACCCGAAGTTCAGATGCGGCCCATGATTTGGCAGTTGCAATATTCGCACAGGAAATGTCCTGAAGTTGTGTGGGTGTGTGTTTTGCTTCTCTCCAAACCGTGTTTCCTTCATCGTGCAACAGCGTCTGAAGACTGCGTCAATTCCTACGTCCCTGGGGAACGAAAAAGGGCTGGATGCTGTCTTTGAGAAGAACCCCTTCTTGTGTGGCTGAGCTAGGTTAGCCCGCAAATACCGAGATTTTATTCATTTCGTCGGGTTTTACCGTTGATTCAAGATGCTCTATGTACACATTCCTGCGTTGCACCTCATTGTTGGCTTTGTGAACTTTGGAACGATTGAATTGTGAGGCTTTATTCAGTCCTGGAAATGTCGCATTCATGCGCATAAACACGACGGGTTTAGATGTAGGAAACGATGAAGGAATTCCAAAAATCATAAACCTCCTGAGAAGAAAATTACAGTAAAGCACTGTAATCTGAAGTACCGTATTTCATCTACGAAATAGTGTTCAGGAAAATCCATTTTCATTAGAAAATTAATCGAGAACATTTAGTTGTTCTTGAGCTTTTTTCGAGTAAAAATTGAAAAAACGAATATTCATTATAGATTTAGAAGATGTAAAAATAACGAATGCGCCAAACAATTCAATCTCGAAGAAAGAGGACAAAATTTCTTTGGCGTTATACTTTTAATGGTGCTTTCTCAGATTAGAAATATGACTTTAAAAAAGTTAAGGGGAAGGAGTTTTCGCTTTAAAACAAGTTAGACCGACTTGAATAAACCCCCAGAGGACAAAATTTCTTTGGCGTTATACTTTTAATGGTGCTTTCTCAGATTAGAAATACGACTTTAAAAAAGTTAAGGGGAAGGAGTTTTCGCTTTAAAACAAGTTAGACCGACTTGAATAAACCCCCGTACAACTCAGCATTCTTCCCGGAATCTGTCAGAAAATTTAGAATTTTTCTCTAGAAATTATTTTATTTTGGATCCATCTCTGCACATCTTATCTCATGCAACAGCTTTGCGGCCTCTGCGCGAATATTCAGTACTGTACGCTAGATTTTTTCGCGAGAACTTTCGCGGAAAGGACTTG